CAAGTACATATCAACTACTAATATTCAGTCGGTTAGTTAATCACATCGTTCACCTTGTAGCCCCACACCATATGGTGTGTCTTAAAGCCGCTGAATAAACACCAAGGTAAGGCAGTGAGTTGGCCAGCTGGTTCTGGATCGCTTGTGTATGTCCATTATGCCGATTTCTCCGATGTACTGGAAATTCGACTCAATATAGTTCGCTTCTGCGTTCCCCTATTCGATCCTCGACAGTGCTGAGTGCCACGACATCACTGAGCTCTACTCTGACAGAGGTTTGACAAACCATGTTTGGCGTCATTGGCTTTAACAACGACACTGAATCGAGCAAATCTGCATCCGGCCCCTTTGAAATTGTCTTCGCTGCGCGTCTCTTGCAGGATGGCAATGTCAATCCAGTATTCTTTTAACGTGCTCGCTAAGCAGTCGCGTTTTACGTGGGAGATGTCCCTGATAATCAGGTTTAATTTTTTTGGTCGTTACGACACGGCTGAGTTTTGCTGCTCTACTTTTGTGGCTGTCAAGCCGAACCGAGAGATTGCTTGCACAATGTTTGACTGGCAGGTGAGGACATTCGTTTTATTGTTAAGTTTCGGCGCACTTTTACAACAACAGGTTCACCATGTAAAAAATGTGGTTTTGCTTCCTTTGCCATAGATGAACCTTGAAAATCATCTAAAACGGTTAGAAATTATCATTCTGAGCACTCCGCTGTTCAGATTTTGTTAGCCTCAGATGACAATGGAAAAACAGAGATCGACGCCCTATTGCTTATACACTTTCAGGTTTCTTCCCCATTCGATACCAAATACAAAACGTCAGCTCATCTCTTGAATCGTCTTCAGTTACGTACCTGAATGGTCAGATTGCGCCGACATGTCGTCGGATTTTCAAGCAGCAGCGTATTGACTAAGCCAAAAAGTTGCATCACCCGTTCGTCTTGGCGCGGATCTTCATGACCTTTCAGTAAGAACCAGTAATCTTGGCCGTCGCTGCCTGCAACAAAAATAAACGTTTTTTTCTGCACAACGAAACTGCCTGTCACACCCTTGATGCAAACTTTTCGGGGTCTTTGTTTCGATGTAATGATCTGAAGACTCGAATGAATCGCCTTGATTCGTACAATCGGTCGGTTCGAGTCGTACGTGCCGGGTACGGCAAGTTCTGAATTCTGGCACATGAGCAGTTTCGGTGATACGTATTGCAATTCCAGAGACGTTAGCTAAAGAACGTGTCAGCGGCCGTCATTAAACCAGCCAACTAAACGACGCTTACCTGTGGTAACTGTTTAGAAATGCGTCTAAAAACATGGTAGTATAAGTCCCATGCCTGAGTCAACTCCTTCACGTTGCCAGTTTGCTTGTACTTTTCGCAGCGGTCGTGGGCTTCTTTCAGATCTGGGTAGTAAGCCTAAAATCGTGCACATGGTCTCAGACACGATCGAAACTAGCGCTCTCACCTGAGTAAACGATTGCTCCTTCAAAGTCGTCGGTCCTTCTTCAATTATGTTGTGTAGGGGTTCAAGTGCGTTGAACATGCCCTGAATGTTTTTCTCTGCAAAGTACTGACGGCTAGCTTCCTCAAGTCCTTCATGCCAGAGTTCATGCCATAAGATTGCCACGCGAACCAGCTCTTCGCTGACCAACGCTGCCTGCTGCACCAGCGTCGGGTAGCGATCTGACAGGTGTTTAAGCACACGGCCTGCAGCCTGCTGGCGGCTTAAATTTTCTGACTTTGCAGCGACTGTGAGGGGATAAACAAGTGCCTTAAAAGCACAAATGGTAAACTTAAAAAAGTTCTCTTACAATTGGATACTAGAAACATTGGTTATACAGCAGCGCCTACTCTTTCAAAACTAATAATCACAATTATTCACAATTATTTACAAGATCCATTACTGCCAATTATTGACTTAAAGTTTCAGTGAGCATCAACAGACGATGAACGCGACGCCACAATATCAAATCTGGCCACAACACTCAAATCGCGCAAAAGGGGGAAATATCATTAAAAACTTGTCCTGGTTCAGTGCTAAATGACAGAAAAAAAATCAATCAGAATATTAGGAGCACAAAATGAACCATAATGAATCATAAATTTAACAAAGGATATTTCAGACAACAAATACAAATACTGGTCAATCCTGATGTCTTGAACATATCCTTGCTGCTTGAAGGAAAACTATAGAAAAGGAGCGGTACTAGAGCACCCCTAAATCCATTGTAGTCGAGTTACACGTCAAACTAACATATTCTTGACGTGAGAACGCACCCATATTTTTGGCAAAAGCTAATAGGGATCAATAGCTCTTGAAACATCAATAGTGATGAGCATGGAGTTGCTGTAGCCAATAAAATCTATGCGCTGCAGCTGCTTAAATAATATGGAGAATTTGTCTGCTTAAACGGTTCCCTGTGCAATTAAAAGCTACGGAACGATATCAAAATGTCATGATACTCGCTTACGGTGGAACTGCACGCTTTATTAATATAACTCGGCGGAAGAACTTATATTTTTGAAACGTTTTACGATTAATGCTTGTCTGACTCGCCTGTGTGACAGTTGTTTTCATTGCTGACGCTTATGACTGCCATTAAGCCTGGTTAGAATTCTAGTGAAAAGCCATTTTATGTTCAGCAGAAATCTTTACAGCATTCCACTGAAATTTCAGTAGAAAGCAAAAATTAAGCAGGCTAATTTCTAAACTATTATACTTCCGCATTTAAGAAATCATCGATGTCAGAGCTATGCTTATTATTGGACTAATTGCTACCAGCTTAATATTTACATAGATATAGGAATCGTCCTTCATAATCGCCGTCATCGTCGAGGAGAACTGAAAGTGACCTAAGTACAATATCGCATGAGTGGGTGAAATATAGTGGGCCCTCCTGAGTTACAACACTAGTGGTGCAAGGCCATCACAATCCGAAAAGGATCGACTAGCAAGGTTCTGGCCAAAGCGATAAACTGAACTCCTGTGTGATGTTATGCGTGCGATCTGTACACATCTGTGAGTTCTGTCAAAGAAAATAAGTGACTAAAAACCCAAATGGAAGAACTGCAACCGTTCATGCTAACAATAGAAAGGCACACGAACTTTTCAACAAGCCATCTAAGATGTAAAAGAAGCATGACTACTCATTTGTAAGATGGAAGAAATACGCAGTCATTCATATCAGAAAACGAAAAGAACATCCAACTGCCACTGGCCGAACGCCCAAATTCTGGAATATTTGAAGTAAAGACGCAAAGGCATGGTCTAAATTTGTACTTTGATGTCGTCACAGTTTAAATGCGGACCAATGCATGTCACTATTATCAAAAAATTAAAACATTTATGAACTAGTTTACGATAAATTAAACATTCTGCTTTCATCCACTTTGAGAAAAATGGTGACATATGACAATAACTAACGAACAGGCCAAGGATGATGCAGATGACAGCGTTTTCAAAACATTCCGTGAAGCTTTCTGTAATGACTGAGAATAGGAGTCGCCAACTCATGATCTTTAGTATGTTCGAAAACTGTGTCAATCAAAATGTAACTCAACTCTGTGCAGAAGATTATCGGTCGTCAGTCAAGTGAAACAAGGTTAAAAATCACACAAATGATTAGTTTGTCCTTTTACTAAGTTCCAATCACTCATTTCCTGAGAACAGCATAGAATAGTTTGCGCTGTGATAAATCAGCCATCTTAATGTTTCTTTAACGTAAAATAACGGTTTACCCCCGTTGCTTACAATGCCTCATTCTGTATCTCATGGACCTTCTTCAGAGTATGGTGCGTGATATACTGTCCTGATCG